GCCCATAGATCTATGAAATTTGTTGAGTTCTTAGATCTATATTCTAGGCATGGCTCTAGATCCAGGCGGTAGGACATTGTTCAGGAGTTTTTGGTGAAGAAATAAAGTATGCTATAGTAGGACTGATGCTACTGAGCCCAGAAAGAGATATGAAAGAGTACTAAAGAGAAATGGCTCTACCCAGGAATATTCCAGCATGAATACCATCATACTGTACACCAGGGATGGGGAAGCTGTGGCCCTCCAGATGTTGTGGGACTCCAGCTCCCATCATCCCCAGCAAACATGGCCACAGCTTCCTCAGCCATGTTTTGCTCTTTGGAAAGGGTGGCAGGCTGCAAACAGTGGCTTCATGAGTTTACTGTGAATGTTTACTCAGAAGTACGTCCCATTGGAGCTGCGGGTGGGTACTTGTGGCCAAGTAAGCATGCATTGGAGTACAGCATGGGTTACTGCTTTTACTCTTTTAAATAAAAGCAGGCACCTTCATGAAAGGATCATTCTGGTGCTAAGGATGAGAAACCTTTCTTCATCACTGGTAAGGGTGGTAGAGCATTTGCTTTGCATACAGAAGATCCCAGGCAGATTTGGGAGAGACTCCCTGCCTGAAACCCCAGAGAGCTGCTTCCAGTCAGTGTGGACAATACTGAGCTTAGATGGACCCATGTAAATGGACTCAGTAAACGGCAGCTTCGTATGTTCTTCCTGTCTTGCAAGCAAGAAATTTAGATCTTGATGGCAGCTGGGTTGCTTCCAAGTTTCTAATTTCACCTTCATCTCAGCATAGAAAAGAAGGGAGAGAGTAAGAAAAGAAACAGGCTGAACTCAGTAAGCATCTGCCATTTAACATCAAGTTTCCACTTTGCTTTCGAAAGATATAACTTGATGGGTAGGGGGAAGCAAAAGAGAGACAGCATTCATGGCATTGTACATGAGCATGATTGTCAGCTGAATAAAAACTGCAAAGTAGTAAACAATGGCTGGATAGACCTGCCAGAGGAAGGGTTTGGTCCTTGGTCATGAAAGTTGAAGCATGCACTAATGTGGTTGTGTTGAACAAGGTGCTGGAATCTGGGAGGGTAAGAATCAGTTCCAGTGAAAGGCTGGTTTCCCTTTCTGCAGGATACACCCCACGCAAAAAGCAGGCGGCCATCCAGGCAGACCACATCTGATTTTTTAAAATGTGTAAGCTATTGTGTATTGTGCAAAGTGGCTTCACTTGCATGGCTTGCTTAAATTATTTTATCGTAGTTGTTGAGATTGGGCTCTACAGTGGAGGAGAAGAGAGATTTTCATCTGTTGCTGTCCTACAATGTATAAAAGCAGCTGGTGGCTAGTTTAGGTCCAACCTGCCCCAGCCCCCTGTAATATTTATAGAAGAGATCTAGTGGTAGATCACACACTTTGTATGCAGAAGGTTTTGGAGTTAATCCCCAGCATCTCTAGGTTGGGCTGAGAATGACCCCATCTATCTTAGGAGTGTACAGTTGGAAGGAACCATGAGGATAATGTCCACCTCCCTGCAATGCAGGAATCTTTTGCCCATCATGGGGATTGAACCCACAGCCCTCATGGTCTACCAACAGCTATCAAAACCTGAAAGAACCATTACCAGTTAATCAGTGTAGACAGTCCTGAGCTAGATGGACTCAAGGGTCTGACTCTGTAGAAGCAGCTTTTTGAGAGGTCTGTAACTCAAGGCAGAGCATGTGCTAAGAGATATTGGGACAGAAGTGATAGAGAACCTGAGGCAAAGAAAGTTGACTAATGTTCAGCTGCAGCCTTAATGGTTTAATTTTTTTTTCTATAGGAAAACCTGTATTTTCCATGGTACTGATGGGTCATTAATTTTTTAATCTTCTGAGATATATTTGGCTCAGTCACTGTTACTGAAATGGGAACCATTCCATATTCCCAGTCTCCGTGGCACTCACAGCCTTTCCTTGCAACAGCTCATGGCAACTTAGAACGTAATAAACAAAAGCTGTCTCCTGCTTAGGAGAAACTGTCAGGTTTCCTTCAAAGATCCTTAAAAAAAAACCAAAAACCATTGACACCATGCAAATCCGTACTTGTGACTGAATATTTTACAAAGTCAGGGAGCTATCTTGGAGAATGTCTGCTAGTCAAATACTGGGATAGATGGGTAAATGGTCTGACTCTAATAGGGACACTCCTATGTACTTACTGAAATCTATACATTAGAGTTGATGCCCTTAAAAGAGGAATAATTCATGGAGGATAAGACAGTCAATAGGGATGCGGGTGGCGCTGTGGGTTAAACCACAGCCTAGGGCTTGCCGATCAGAAGGTTGGCGGTTTGAATCCCCACGGCGGGGTGAGCTCCTGTTGCTCGGTCCCAGCACCTGCCAACCTAGCAGTTCGAAAGCACGTCAAAGTGCAAGTAGATAAATAGGTACTGCTCTGGTGGGAAGGTAAACGGCGTTTCCGTGCGCTGCTCTGGTTCGCCAGAAGCGGTTTAGTCATGCTAGCCACATGACCTGGAAGCTGTATGCCAGCTCCCTCGGCCAATAAAGTGAGATGAGCGCCGCAACCCCAGAGTCGGCCACGACTGGACCTAATGGTCAGGGGTCCTTTACCTTTAAGACAAGTCAATGGCTACAATGGCTCTGTTCTGCCTCCACAATCAGAGACAGTGCTACCAGTTGCTTGGAACCACAAGTGAGGAGAGAGGCTGTTGCATTTGGATCCTGCTTTTGGGGCTTCCCAAGGCATCTGACTGGTCACTCTTGAGAACAGGGTGCTGGACTAGTTGGGCTTTTGGCATTACTCAGCAGACTCTTACGTTCTTCTGAGTGTTGTGGTAGCATGCTGGGGGGACAAACCTGGGGGGACTGATCAAACCCATTGGTGGACCACCAGAGATGGTGGTGGTTTTTGTTGCTGGGCATAGGTTTCACAGGTCTGTTAGCGGACTCCCCCCACCGTTCCTCAGCAACCCGCGAGGTTTGTCGCACCACCAAATGGCTGAAGCATATGTTTCTGTGCTCTTCCTTTCTAGCTGCATTTCCCTTTTTAATCTCTCAAATATTAGGAAAGGTGTGGGGTTGTTTTTAGCAGTAGCTATTTCTGGCAAACGGTACAGATTTTCCCCCCAAGCATTTAATAACATAATCGGCCCACCTTCTTTAAAACTGTAAATTGGCATACAGTTGCTTCCAACATTCAGTTTCTTAAAAGGATGTAAAGATATGTCCTGCTGGAGGAGACGAGTGCTAACAGTTATTAATACCGTGCACCATCTTCCAAAGCAGTCCAGAGCACCAGAGGAGCCCAGGTCCCAGGAAGGCATGTCCATGGTTAAAGGATAGGGCTAGAATGTAAATTAGGAGATAGGACCATATCAGGGCTGGTAACATTAGTGGGCACCATTGTCAGTTCCTGGAATCTCTTGGCCCTCCTCCTCATTACTGTCGGTTCACATGCCCGAGTGAGCCAGCAGTGAAAGAAGCAAGGAACGGTGAGAACAGCTGCTTAGGAATGCTAATGATTAATTGGTATATAAATACCTTAAGCAAATAACTTCCATCCCTTGACTTTTTCTTCTGGGAGGTGTGGACTGTGCTCAAAGAGAGAAGCAAGTGAATCGGCACAAGGAAGAGTGTAAGGAGAGGTCATGCCCCAGTGCTGGTGCCCATTGGGAAGGGGGGTAGAGAAGGAAAGATAAAACTGTAGGTGGAGACAGTCAGCTAACTCTGGTTTTGTCCCCAATCTTTTCCCCTGCTGAGCTCTGCAAGGGGTACACTTGACACTAAGGAGAAGGGTTGATATGCTGTGCCACCCCCTAGAAAGCAGGCAAGCAGAGGGGACTGGTTGAGGTTGGTGGGGCAGTGCTCAAGGTGCCCAAGACCTGGAACCAGCAGAGGAACCAACTCAAAGGCAGAGCACATTCTTTGTGTGCAGAACACCCCGTTTGTTATTTAAGCTCATGTGATTTTAGAGCTGTTGCTTTGAACCATAGTTTCGGAAGCAACTGTTCTCCATTGGTTCTTCTTCTTGTTCTCTTCGAGTATTGTGTCCAGTTCTGGGACCTGCACTTTAAAGGGCATGCACAGACTGAAAAGGGGTTTGGTTGAGCATGAGAAACATCTTGGTTGCAATTGCTGTTTGATCATGAAAGTATTATTTTTGCACATTTCCAGAAAAATGTGCATTTAAAAATGGAACTATGTTTAATCCCTGGTCTTTTTAGTTGAGTCTCAGGTAACAAGGCCAAGAAGTAAGCACAAGTGTAAAGTGTATGCCCTGGAGGAAACAGTTTCTTGAGGGATGTTTCCACTCGTGAAGAATGCTTAGGACTTTAGTAGGACTGGGGCTGGTTGGATTATCTCTTAGTGCAAGGCAACCTTTGGTCAACCTGGTAATCCCCCCCCCAGTGTTTTGAACTAAAACTCCCACCAGCCTCATCCAGCCCAGGGAAGTGGGCCAAAATATCTGAAAGGTGCTAGGGTGGGGAAGGCTGGAACATGGCCACCTCTGCAGTGTCAACTGCTCTTTGGTGGAAATATATTGCATTCTGGGCCTTTTGCTATTAAAGATGCCTTCGATGGACAACACTTGCATTCCCTGTCTCCTTACTCTCCCCACCCAAAGCCATGATGATGGGTGGGAGTTGATGCCCAACATCTGGACGGCAGCCTGTTGAACCACCCTACTTTACCAGAAAAATCACATGATGAATCCCATCTCCTGGAGGGTACCACTTAAGAAGGTGCACACACATCTGTATACAGGGGTGAGTGGAAGGTGTGGGGACTCTTTTCTAAAAAGGAGGTGCAGGTGTGGGCCTGCAATACTCAGTCCAATTGGAGAAGTTGAGGTCAGAGGTGCTTATCTCATGAAAAGCTATTCATAGTCTCATAAAACAATTTTATAAAACAGTTTTAATTTTTTTCTGCAGTATTGCGCCAATTAATTGGGGCATGTTTGTTCATGCTACTCAAGAGTAGTAAAAGAACATATCTTTAGTGTGTGTGGACTTATTTTTTTCTGCACAAACAATTTTATTTTTGATAATGCGCCTATACACTGTACATTCAGTCACTGTGGTATATATAAGCATAGCTATTTTCATACATAATCTGATAAAGTCCTTTATTTTACAATATTATCTGTTTCCAGGTTGGAAAAGGGATGTGGGGGGGAGGGGGGATTTGAAAAGGACTATCAAGTTACACAGAGAAATAGATAAATACCCCACGCTTTTTTTTTTCCTTTTTGTAAATCAGGCATTTATAAACAAGAAAGCATATTTAATTACATAAAATAGTTCTAGAATAGGAGAGTAAGTCATAAAATAGTTAGCAGCAGCAGCAGCTGGGGGACAGGGAAGTAACAAAAAAATGCTGTAAAGATTTCGTCTATTAATAAACTTGCGCCATTATCCCCTCAATTAAAATCTTGCTCCTTAGTACTCTTCCTTGCATTAAAAGACCTCTCTATAACACAGAGACTGCTTGGGGATGTAAGGGGAAGAAATGTCAATTTTCTTTGCTTTAACTAATAAAACAGTTCACAATGAATGACAAAAATATGCAAATAATGGGAAGGAAGTTGAACTGACACTGATTTTTTTTTTAATAAGAAAAAAAGTTTCTTTCTTTATGGTTGTTTTTTTCCCTAACAAATTTCCTTGGTTTTAAAAACACAACAAAACAAGACAACTAAGTAAGAAAAAGGTTTTGAAAAAGTAAACACCACCATATACACGTATTATACAACTGCAAAATGAAAAAAAAAGTATTTACAAATTAATTATTTTTTTTTACATTGGCTAGTTCTGTTGGAAAAAAGCAAGATTATTATTCTGTTAGCCTGTTTCAGATATAAATGTCTTATTGCTGTTGGTATTCTTCACCTGCCCTCCCCCCCTTCGTTAAAGTCTTATTTGAATATCTTTTATAAAAAAGTGAATTAAACTGAATATACAATTACCTAGATTATATATATCTATATATCTATATATATTTGATGTATTTGGAGAACTGACAGCCGATGTAATAAAACACTTCTTCTCCCCTTTTTGGAGAAAACATCTTAAAGGAAACGGAATTACAATTTGCGAATTCTGTTCCAGTAAAAGGATCATAGCTATAACTAGCTTAAGTTAGCAAAAGAAGAACATTATATTCTACAGAATTGATAATGCAGTTTCTTTTTCCTGACCAGCCCCTCTGCACACTTTGGAGTAGGGGGTCTGCTGTGAACAAAAAAATGTTGCATAGGCAGCTGTTTCCCCATTCACTTCAATGGGTTGTGCCCAACTTTCCATTTGGAAGAACCCATTAAAACTGATGGACCTCTGTTCTGATGTAACACTGGATATAAACCAATGTCAGAGACATGCATGTTCCATGCTTACATTGGCTATCATGGGTCCGGAGTGGAGGGGAGCCCAGAACTCTCATGTGTTGATTGGGAGCCTCGAGTTTGGATTGCTTTTTGTTTTAATTACCTTAACTTTGTGTTTTCTACGTCTAGCTCTCCTCAGACCTTGGCTACTGATCTGGAATACTAGTGACCATGCTGCAGTGTTCAGAATATATATTTATACACAGTGGGCTAGGAACTTCTCCAAGGTAAGCCCCATTTGTTGCAATGACGCTTGAGCAGAAATTATTCTTGGTAGGTTGTATTTGTTAACTGATGGCAAGAGCTTGAGGTGGGAAACGTCCCAAACAGCTGTGAAATGGCTGAATTTTCTGTTACCCTTTTATTGTCTGACTTGGAAATCCCTTAAACAGGACTTTAGACACATGGCTGAAAAGATTAAGAGCAAAGATGCTATCGAATCCACATGGATGCACATGCTTCCTTCAGATGTTGGATACAGACTTGAGCTATAATCCAACTAACCTAGGGTTAAGTCCTACTGAACTTAATAGGACTTACTTCTGAGTAGACATGCACAGGATTGCACCATATTTAGTCAACTAAGTCCCAATTGAAATCCAAATGACATGTGTCATGGCTTAAATCTGGATCTGACAAAGGTGTCTTTAAAAAATGATTCTTCACTCACCTAATGAGATTTTGTTGTTTTGCCTCTATCCGCCTTATGTCACAAAGATTCTCTCCCCCCCCCCCCCCGTTTCAACACTTACTAGACAGTCTAATCTTAAAAAAAACTAGCAGATGGATGTTTCAAGACTGATCAGTATGTGGGCACAGCTGTACAAATTGCAATTATTTCATCAAGGGTTTCAGGAAAAATCAGACCAGGATCAAGGTGTTAGAAACACAGCATTTGTTGGTATTAATACTTGGCACCTTTATACTTAAAGGCATACACTTAAATAGTTTTATGTGCATACCTACATAAGATAAAGTATGAATGCAAGAAACACAATTTTAAAGCTGCTTATAGTGTTATAAGCATACATTTCACAGGGAGTTATGAATGGTTGCAGCTTCTTGTGGAGTATATAATTCAGCAGCAAAGTTGAGCTTCCCTTTGCATAGTATGTGGAACGTCCCTTAAATCAGCAAGATTGCAGGCCCCATGCCGTTACAGAGAAGGATGCAAGAGTGAAATTCTGATGGACAGATGCAGTTTAAATCACGGGACCTTTCCTTCCTTCTGTTTTAAGCTATTGCAGAAGACTACACATAGTTCCGTGTGGTTGGTGCTGATTATCTTTTTCCTCTTTGATAAATTCAGCTCCTTTTCTCTTGGTGGGCTGGCAGTAAAAAGACAAGCTTGCACTGAAGTTGTATGCCCATATAAAAAAGATGAGACATGATGCAAACTTCAGCATTTTTCATTTGGGGTTAGTACTATGATTGGAAGTGGTAGCAGAGACTTCTGAAGAATGAGCACGTGCCCAGGCTGTGGGTTCCCAATGCCTTTCCTGTTTGTTTTGACGGGGATAGCTTTGTGCCAGCCTAGCCTCAAGGTTTGGAACATTTACACTCATGAAGAGGGAAAGGGGGAATGGCTGTGCTGTGGCGCAGTGGGCTTCTCTGAATCTGTGCGGATGTTTCAATGAATCTGGCAATGGTTTTTAGGGTTTGTACCTTTCACGCTGACCTGTTGGTCAACGCACCAATTTCACTTCCTATAGGATTATAGGGAATGTCCTAGAATGTGCCCCTAAGTTTGCTAGCAAAACCAGCTGCACCTCTGTCAGTCAGCGTGAACTAAGTTTGTGTCATAAAACATGGGTTGTGGCTGCCGTGGTTTAAGACCCCTCTGTTTATCATTGGGACTACAGCTCCCATCATCCCTGGTCATAGGCCATGCAGGCTGGAGTCAATGGCAACTGAAGTGCAACAACAGCTGGAGGACCTCATGTTCCCCATCCCTGGCATAGAGGAAGATCAGTATTGGAAGGCAAGCTGCTTTCACAGAAACTGGTTTGTCATTATCATCTTGTAGAATGACCCCTGTATTCCTAGAATTAGGGTTTGTAACACCTCTCCCTGCTGAAAGGAGGGGTGGCTGGCCGGGTGGGGAGAGGGACAAGCAGTGAGCAGCAGCTTGTCCCAAGAGTGAAGCTGGATCGCCAAGTGTAGGTTTGAGCCACTGAAGACAGCTGTGCATCAAAACTACGCAATTTTGTTGCCTCTTGAAGGAAATAACTGCAAACTTAACAAAAAAGCATTATAGATCTTGGAAATTTATACGACTGAGAACAAAACAAAACAAAACAAAAAAAAAAGTTATGCACCTTTACGTTAAGACAGTGATAATGCCCATTAATTAATATATATGTATGGCAAAGATTTTAATTCCATGCATATGGTTTTTTTAATAACTGCAGAAAAAACATACAAAGCAAAAAAATTATTTTTAAATCCCCATATTAAAAAAATAACTGCATAAACACAATCAATATTCCGTTTGCATTGCACTTTAAGATGGGAGAGCAGATTCCACTCATTGGATACGAGCATGGGCAAGACCTCAAACGCAGACAACTTCGTATCATGCAAATTAGTCCGTATATATCTGTTGCTTTCTTGCTCCCCATATTTCAATTCTAAGTCACCTGATTTTTCTAATATAGCTTCCTTTTAAATTTTTTTCCTGTAGCAACCCCTACCCCCACCCCCACTAAAATGTACTTTACTTCCTCCTTTTTCAATGTTCATGCTTACAATGGCTATTAGAATGGATAATAACAGCTTTATTTTCAATACAACTTTTATTCCCCCCCTAGTGTACTGTAAAGTCAATACTTTAATTTTAGGACAGACAGCCGCATTTTGGTTACAGGAAAAGGATTGAATTGCAGAGTTCCCTTCAGTGTTTCAGAACGCAAATTGGAGGAGAGAGAATCTGTGAATTTGGGATGGCTTTTTCCCCCAGTTAAGGATTTTAGTAAACTGTCGCCCTTAGTAAACGGTTTGCTCACCATTCCTGTGAAATGATTGTAAAAATAAAACAAATACGAAAGACTTTGAATCAATACCTCTGTATTGGCAGGGAAGAACGGATCAAAATATTGCTCACTCCTGCACTGGGGCAGTTTAGCCAGGACCAGCCGCCATAGCCCTGTCGCTGATAGGATGGCATCCCTGAAGTCCCTGTTGGAATGCTTGTGTGACACGGATCTCAAGCAACCATGAATCAAGAAACACGTGACCTGCTTGATTGCCAGAGAGCAAAGGTAGGGAATCTGAGCCTATGCTGCTCATATTGACACTGAGCTCTAACAATTGCATTTCCGTAACATTTCCTACCCGCCTTATTCTCAAAAGAGAGTGGGTAGGTCCTGGAGAAGTGTAGAGTTATAAACTGTTCCTTGCATATTTGATTGCTAACACAGTGGACAGTTGGTTAAATCATAAGGGGAGCAAATAATAACAAAAACTGTAGTTCTTTAAAAAATAATGCTTTTCAAGAGGAAAACAAAATCCAGTGGGTACTAAGTGTTGGCCCCAATCAGGTAGAAGAAGCAAAACTCCCACTGGGGATAGGATTTTTGCCCTGAGTGTGTTTACTTGCTGCATATTTTAATATTCAGTGGGAAGGGAAGGAATTGCGGCACAGATCCCAATATTAAAGTATTTGTCACATTAAAAACAAAAGACCAAAAAACCCCTAAAGAATAAGAAATGTAGGCTTATTCACAGCAGCAAAAGTCCTCTTTTTTTGTTTCTTTAATACAATGTTGAGCACTCTCTGTGGGCCACACTGAAATCCTTACACGTGATCCTGGGCAAGTCAATAAAATACTGAAATTTCTGAGGTGATGATAACATGGGGAGTTGAGTTCTCTGGGAAAACGGAAGGGTTTCCAAGCAGACATGCCACTCTCTGTTTTTTCCCACTTATCTTTCACAAGCAACTTCATGTTTCAGTCGACTTTTGTCTTGTGTTTTCTCTGTGTTTCTTGCTCTCTTTATATATTCTTCTATCCGTTTCTCATAATTGAAGTGCTCTGGCGTTGAAGTGAGTCTTTAAAACACATCAGTTAATAACAGACATATATTTATATATAAAAAAAGTTATGGCGTGATTTACAAACACTGAATTTTAATAAGGCTGGGTTCATTTAGGATATAGTTCCACTCCTACACCCCACTGAAAGATGCAAACTACCCCCCTTCCCCTCCACTGACTTTCCTCTTCTTGGTTCAAGCATGGGGAAAACAAAGATTTTAAACTAGGAAAAAACCTAAATTTGAAATTCACATAGAAATCCCCTGGATTGAAACGGTCATGGCTTATTATTGGGCTTTTTCTGACGAGCTTCTCTAAGGAAGAACCCAACATCTGTAACAATTTGTCATTACAAATCAGGCATTGAAAGTATTTTCTCCCCTCCCTGTTTTTATATATATATATATTTAAAAAAATCTTGTTAATGGTTATAATACCATGTCTTCATGACTCAATTGTTTTGTGTTCTTAAATAGCTTATAACAAAAGGGTTTTGTTTTTTTCTTGATTCCAAAGTGTTCCCAGAAAGCAGCCCTCGTTGCTTGTCTTTGATTTCACATGGATGCTGCTCGCCAGACGGTATAATTTTTCTAATAATTTTTTTTTTTTTTTGCTGCGGACTCATAAAGTAGTTTAGGTTATAAACACTCTTCATGTTATAGGCACAGGAAGATGTTGTGCTATATGGATTGAAAAAAGAGGTGGAATTCAGTGCTTCTGTTATAAAGAGTAACATTTGCCCTCCAATGAATAACAAAGTCCATGTTTACCAGCACACGCCAGGGCGCGGACCCTTGCCCCAGCGCCTCTCCCACACACTCTCTCCCTCACTGTGCATATTATTTTATTTTATTGTCAGTCTGGCCTACAAATTAGACCCCATGTCATTACGTTCTTCAGCGCTGGCCTAGTTGTCCATATCTTTCATTGTGTGTTCACTGCCGGGCAGATCACTCTGTTTAGGCCACAGTTGCTCCTGAAGTTCCTTGACAACCTTTTCCAAGTGTTCCCGTGCTTCCCTCTCACGCAACAGATCAGCACGCAGCTGTTCTCTGTCCGCCTCTGCATGCTGGAGCTTCACCTGCAGGTCTTCAATCTAGAATGAATGAATGGATAGTAAACTAGAGATACCTGGCTCAATTCAAGGCATTAGAACTGACATATGCAGTGGTACCTCGGGTTAAGAACTTAATTCGTTCTGGAGGTCCGTTCTTAACCTGAGGTACCACTTTAGCTAATGGGGCCGTGTGATTTCTGTTCTCATTCTAAAACAAGTTCTTAACCCGAAGTACTATTTCTGGCTTAGCAGAGTCTTTTAAGCTGAAGCGTCTGTAACCCGAGGTACCACTGTAGAACCTTAGGTGGCTCAGAGCCAAAGTCCCTAAAACCAACTACCGTATTTTTCGCCCTATAGGACGCACTTTTCCCCCTCCAAAAATGAAGGGGAAACGTGTGTGCGTCCTATGGGGCGAATGCAGGCTTTCGCTGAAGTCTGGAGAGCGAGAGGCGTCGGTGCGCACCGACCCCTCTCGCTCTCCAGGCTTCAGGAAGCTATCCGCAAGCCTCACGCGTCCGGTGGGAGGCCCCGCCGGGCCCGCGAGGCTTGCGGGCGGCAGCCTGCATCCCGAAGCAGGGGGCGAGCTGCGGAGCCCGCCCCCTGCTTCGGGCAGATGTCGGCAAGCCTCGCGCGCAAGGCTTGGGGCGGCAGCCTGCATCCCGAAGCAGGGGGTGAGCTGCGGAGCCCCCCCCCCTGCTTCGGGCAGATGTCTGCAAGCCTCGCATGCCCGGCGGGAGGTCCCGCTGGGCGCGCAAGGCTTGGGGCGGCAGCCTGTTCTGGGGGTCGGGGGACGCTTGGGCTTGCCCCGTGCCTGGGGGGGGGAAATAATTTTTTTTCTTTATCCCCCCCCAAAAAAACCTAGGTGCGTCCTATGGGGCGAAAAATACGGTATCTTGGACCCTAAAAGCCACATGCCAGTAGGTGGGCGGGGTCAGCGGAAAGCATGGTTTAAAAGTAGGGCTGCTGAAGGGAATTGGGTTCCAAGAGACCAGATTGGGAGGTCTGGGAGGTCTACAATCAGTCCAAGCCTGGGGTTCCCCACTCTTGAGTTGCAGATGATACAGCAACACAGTCCAAGAGCTGCAACCTATCCGTTTTTAGATCAAATGCTAAACTATATACATAATCTATACAGGAAAGAAAAGGTCACTGAATGCTTGTCCACCATGTTTCTAGGTTTATACACAGCCTAGCACAAGGATAGCCAGCACAGTGTCCTCCAGATGCTGCTAAGCCAGCTGCACTGTGGCAAGAGACCTGAACCTTTCTCTCTGCTTTCCATCTTTGCATCTTCCCCCACCACTCAAAACAACACTTCTGCAGTCTTGGGCCTCTTCCAAGTCATTCAGCTCTGGCCACCTCCCCTCTAATACTTCAAAGGATGAGCAAAAAACGTGGCAATGTGATTACTTCAGAAATGAATATGCCAGACCTAAATCCTGACAAATGAAGGGGGGGGGAGTTGCAGGGAAATGGCAAGGATGTGCCTGTGCACTAATTCCTTTTGACTGCTTTGAAAAATCACAGGTCCTCATTCCTTCCTCCCACCTACCTCCAACCTAATCTAGACTTGAACATCCCTGATGCTATTTCTTAAGACTGAGACGATGAGCAGAATTAGAAGCCGGGGAGACAGAAGGCGAGCACGTCTAACACAGACGTCCCACGTCAACATGGCGAATGGGAGGTAAGACAGAAAAGGCTTCTGGCAAGATTATTAACAGGAAAAACCCAAAAATTCACCCACACAAACTTCAATCCTTTCCTCCCTTGAGAGAGAGAAAAAATCCAGATGTCAGAAGCAAAAGCAACCCTCTGGAGCAGAGCAAGTTGAAACAAACGGGTGAACCTTCAAAGCCTAATTAGATGAATGTGTGTGTGTTGTTTTTTTAAAGGCTTCAAACTTTGTGGAGCCCCACCCACCCCCACAACACTTCAGCTAAAGTGGAAGTTGACACCCAGCACATGAAGCTCTGAATCAGATTATGTTTAGTCTGGGCATCGCTTATCAGCGAGACGTCCCGTGATGCGAGGAGAAGGAAATTTGCATCATTTCCTGCTTCTCTGCCCTTGTAAATTTGGCAAGCCTCACAAAAGGGACTGTGGGACCGCTCCCCTTCCTGTTAATGAGAGGAGGAGGAAAAGTAACATTTAACAGGGCTTTTGTTCAGAAGTTGGCTTCTTTTTTTCTTTAAAGGAGCTCTTTAACAATTTTTTTGGTGTACAGAATGACAACACTTTAAACTCTCTTCACAGAAAAGCCCCCATGTTGCTATTACATATGAATTGATTTTGTAAAGCATGTCCTGGTATTTGTACTGTATTTTTCGCACCATAGGACGCACTTTTTCCCCTCCAAAAATGAAGGGGAAATGTGTGTGCATCCTATGGTGCGAATGCAGGCTTTCGCTGAAGCCTGGAGAGTGAGAGGGGTCGGTGCACACTGACCCCTCACGCTCTCCAGGCTTCGCACACCTCTCCGCAAGCAGCGGGAGCCCAGCGCTGGGCTCCTGCTGCTTGCGGAGACTTGCCTGCATGCTGAAGCCTGCGCGCGCTCAGCTCAGCGTGTCCAGGCTTCGCGGACCTCTCCGCAAGCAGCGGGAGCGCTCCCACGGCTTGCAGAGAGCTGCCTGTTTGGGGGCTGGGGTCGGGGGAAGCTCGAGCTTCCCCCGCCCCAGCCCTGCACCTGGGGGGAAAAATAATTTCCCCCCCTTTATTTCCCCCCCCCAAAAAAACTGGGTGCGCCCTATGGTGCGAAAAATACGGTACTTCCCAACCTTACCTGGAGATGCCAGGAATTGAGCCTGGGACCTTCTGCACACAAAACAGGTGATCTCTAACCACTGAGCCAGGACCGGTATGAGAGCTAGAGTGCAATGGCTGCTTCACCCAGTGGTATATTGCAAGTCAAACCACTGTCACTCCTGAGTCACTCTGCTACCAGTGCCCAGTGTGAGAAACAAGCTGCAGCCAGGTGCTGGAGGCAAAGGGACTCAGGAGCAGCAGTTGTACTGCTGGGTGAAACCACCATTGCATTCTGGTCCTCATCCTGCTAAGGGAGGAACAAGCTACATCACCTGTGGCTGATGTAGCTTGTACCATGGCTGCCCGTGCCTCATTTAAATTTCTCCGCTGAGGGGTGCGCAGCGGCCTGCCCCTCAGCAGAGAAGTCTAGTAGACTTGCCTGCTGCAGGGCGCAAGCCAAAGACAGGGTGTGGGCTCTGTTAGGCTTCTCCGTTGAGGAGCAGGCAGCCTGGCAGCCCCTCCTCCCACACACATGCAAAGGGACAGGCTTCTCAGCTGATCAAGCTCCCCACCCCTTTGGCTTGTGCATGGCAGGTGGGTTATCTCCCAGAAGGAAGTGCTGAGGTTGCTTGATGCTGCCACCAGGCCCAATGCTCAGCAAGGCACGGATGGGGTGGCTTGCACACTGCACCTTGCAGAGCAATGCCAAGGTTGCAGAGGAAGTTCCTCCACTCCCAGCGTTGGGTGGCAGCAGCAAGCAGCCCTGGCTCAGACAGGTTTCAACATTGCGATCTATAGCCAGTTTGTGATGTTTGCCTGGTGATACATCTCAGTGTTGAAAAGCCGACATTGCCCAGCCCTATTCCCTACAGCAGAGCTTTCCACATTGTGTGTCATGTGAATGCTCCCCAAGCTCCTCCAGGGGCTGGAAAAGGGTTCGTTTAACCTCTGGTTTGCTAGTAAAACTGAAGTGCTATGTTGTGAAATGATGCATGTCTAAAAAGTGTCACCAACATGAAAAGTTTGGAAAGCTCTGCCCTACAGTGAGAAACCAAAGACTGTTTTGAGGCCAAAATGGCATCCTTTAAAGTATCTTTCAAAGAGCCTTTCTGAATATTTAGCCACAAGAAAAGCTCTTGCAAAGTTTTGGCCAAGAGCCTACAGCTCTGTGGGAGCTCTCAAAGGACCTGTCCTCACCTGGGCGGAGTATTTGGCTCTCAGCCTGCCTGCTTCACACCCCTTGTCGCACACCCGGACTTGTCTGGCTTGCTCCAGTTCCCGCTTTAGCCGTATCCGCGATTCGTTGGCCTCCTTCATTTTCTTTTCGTTCTCAGCTCGGAGGCGCTCGATCTCCTTCCTTAAGTTGCGCTTGGCTTCTGTTGCCTCTCTTAGCTTCTCCTTCTTCGCCACACGTAGGAACTCAAGCTCCTAGAACAAGATGGAGGCATGGCTTACTTGATAAACACAGCCTTAAAAGTGGTTAGAGGTGGCATGGGGAGTAAGAAATATATAACTGGGCAAGAGCTTTAACATTTCAGAGGTTGTTGGAGGGCAAGTTAGAAAGGAACATTAGACTTTAAGGATGGTGTGCCTGATATTGGCAAGAACCACATAAAGCAGATAGACGTGTTCACCAGTTCCTAGGCTAATGGAAAATGAAGATATCTTATTCAGTAGCATGGAATTCCATAAGTGTTCATATGCAATAAGGAAGAACCAATACATCACAGAATTCTGGAAGAATCTCGACTCTTTTCAGACAGTTCTAGAACATATTACAAGCAAGCACTTATGGACATTCTGATGTTAAGATTTGAGTTAGGTTGTCAGTATTGGATCTGTATATGATTTGTATATTTCCTTTTTTGTTTTTTAAGCTAATGGTCTTGTCTATTGATTATTTTAAGTGCTGAGCCTCCAATGGGAGGGATGTTGTGTCCTGGTTGGTGGGGGGAGACATTTCTCTACAACAGGGCTTCTTGAACTATCTGATGCGACGGACTGGCAATTATTTTTTTCTCCAGGGTGCCATATCTGATCCCTGAAGCGTCCCACCCAACCTGGGCTGTGGTGGAGTCACCATGAACCAGCAGCTAATGGCTCACAGACCAGGAACACCACTTTGAGTAGCACTGCTCAACAAGACCTTGCCATTGAGACAGAAGAAGAGCCCATCTAGCCCAGAATCATTTTACTCACAGTGGCCAAACCAGAAGCAGTTCCTAAGCACAACAGCATTCTCCCCTCCTGCAGAACCCAGAAAATGGTATTCAGAGGGAAAACAGAGCCAGTGGAAAAGCAGAGGTCAGAGTTAGGTGATTAGTCCAAATGGAGACATTTTTCATATTTATGTGGTCCAGCATCAGATATTTTAGGCACATGGATAACCAGGTGCTTGGGGTCCTCTCAACTTCTTTAAAATAAATGTGTAATGCGTAAACCATAAAGTTTTCTCTCTTTTATTGGGAGAGCGGAGGGGACAGCTTCCATTCATTCTTTGCTTATATTATGACTGATTAGTGTTAAAAGGGAGACCAGTGTTGCATATCTCTTCCCCTCCCCTCCCCTCTCCTTCCTATTTCCAGATGCAGTCCTTCCTTTGTTAAGTAACATAACTGCATCGGGGTCATGGGAAATCTCTCTCGTCTGACAACCTTATTTCCTAAGCCAGAACTTGTTATCCTAGCCTGTGCTGTTTCCCAGCCATTCTGCATGAAAAGCCTTTGCCCTCTCCACAACAGAATTAATGGAATTTGGGGACAAATACTAGGCTCTTAAGTTCATCGTACTCTTCTGCTCAGTTTAGGCACTGTTAAAAGTTTTGCTTGGCTGAGCAGCTGCCACCTGCTCTGCGTTCTCTGACTGCTCTCAAGAAACAGGCTCAAGGTCCTTCAGAGAGAACCAGAAAGCCCAGGAGCAGCAAGTAGACTGCCACCCCACGGATCCTCCTTTACACCATGAATGGGTCCCATGAAACTTAAGGCCCCAGAGCACAATCTAGGTTTTCTGTGACTCTGTTCAGCTGTAATATTAAGCCATAAACCACACATGTGGAACCTCAAACTTTGCATGCACTTGCAAGCTGTCTGGGTGTTTCTAGTTTGCTGTTCTTTTTTTTAAAAAAAAATAAACCAACCCGTTTTTTTAAAAAATATTGTTTTTACTTGTTTGGAAATGTATTTTTAACTGCAACTTTAATAAGGAATATTAGTAAGAAAAACATAACCATGATGGCTATGTTCTACCTCCACTGCTAGGAATCACAGGTGAGGAGAGGAGGGCTGTTATGTTCAGGTCCTGCCTTTGAGCTTCCGGTAATAGGTGTGAGAACAGAGAGCTGGATCAGATGGGACTTGAGCTTAAATCCATCAGGGCTGCTCTTACGTACTTACTTTCAGGACCAGAAGGATGTTTCAGATAGGGAGAGAGGGTTGTATCCACTGTTAGTCATACCCAGAACATATCACTTGAAATTAATGTGCATGACTAATTTGAATGAAGCCACATCCACACTATACTTGAAAAGCACTATTACATCACTTTATCAGTCATGGCTTAAAGCATCATGAGAAGAAAAGTTTTAAGAGTTGGTAGGAGACCCCTCCTCCCCTCACAGAGCTCAACATCTCAGAGGGGTTTTACAATCAATCCCTCTTCCCAGGGAACTCTGCGAATTGTAGCTCTGTGAGGGGAGTAGGGTGTCTCATAACAACCCACACCCTCTTAATAGACTGACTACAGTTCCCAGCATCCTCTGGGGGAAGCCATGACTTTTTAAAGTGGTACAATAGTACTTGCCTGTGTAGTGGGGATGGAGGTGGGTGGGGATGCAAGCCACTCATTTTGCCTTATGATGCTTCCATATGGCCTTACCTGGTGTAGGCTGCGTTTGGCCTGCAAGGCAGCATTCAGTTTTTCTTCCTGCTTCACTCTCATCTTTACAACTTCGTGGAGGAATTTCTCTTTGGCTTCTTTCGTGTCCAGGCCACTGTCCAGGGCCTGCCTGAGGTGCTCCAGCTCAGCCTCCAAACCGCTGGTGCCACTCTGGGGTTCGGCGTGGCTGGCGACTTCAAAGACGTTGCTAGTAGTGGGCGGGGCTTGCATGCTGGGTGAGCTCATGTCCTTGGCTGAGCTCGAAGAAGCGAAGGATGGGGAGGAGAGTGAGGACAGAGAGGAGGTGACTGGGGAGGGAAAAGAAACACAAAGGCGGCAGTCCCCCCGCCAACAAAAAGAACATTAGAAAGCTAAAAATCACCTGTGTGTCTGGCTTATAGAAAGGACATACATAGAACCCAATATACATTGTACCCAATCAGACCATTGGTCTATCTAGTAAGGTAATAGCTACACTGACTAGCAATGGCTACCCAGGGTTTAAGTCAGGGGTCTCTGTGTGCAAAGCAAGCGCTCTAACCACTGAGGTGCTTTCCTTTTCTTAAAGCAAAACGGGGACAAGATAAGACTTAGAATCATAAAATCATAGAATTGGAACGTACCCCATATGGGTCATCTAGTATAACCCCCAGCCATGCAGGGATCGCATCGGTTCCCCATCCTTCCATCCCTCCCCATGGCAATGTTCCCAAGGAAAACAACCAGGGAATTAGAAGAAAATAAGAAATGAAGTAGCATGGGGTAACTCACACTTACATTCTTCTCGAGTCTCTACTTCGATTTCTGCTTCAGACTCCTTTTCTTCTTCCGCAGCAGGGACAGCGGCAGGAGCGGGGGCGACAGCAGCGGTTGGCGTAGGTTCGGGAATGGTTGGGTTTTCGGCGACATGTTTCCTTTTCCTTGGTTGGGAGGGGCTGTTCAACGGCTCACTGCTCCGTGTTGCTGCTGGGGCACATGGGGGGTTGCTTACGATCTTTGGCTGAGGCGGGGGTGGTGCAAGCGCCACATTGGGGGCCACGGCATTCTCAAAACTTTTGTATGAATACAAACTGCAGAGGGGTTGTAGGGGGGTTGGAAGGGAGAAAAAGAAGTAACACCTTCAGTGATGGAACACACACTACTACATTTGCAGGCTCAGGAGGCGTCTGCATGCATGGGTTTACATACAACGATAGGGAAAATGCAATTCTTTGGATGTTTGGGGGCTACAACTCCCATCAGCCTCACTAGCACGGCCATGGGCCAGGGATGGTGGGAACTGAAGAGAGAAATAATGTTGTCCAACTAGGTCCTGCTCAGAATACACCCACTGAAATTAATTGTCCCACGTTAGTCGTGACTTCAGACAGTCTACTCTGAGTAGGACTAATGCTAGATACAACTCATAGTTGCAATATGTAAACATTTACTGGGGCAAATCAGCAGCCTTTTCTGTGCTACAAAATGCAAATTAACAAGGGGCCTGAACCAGCGTATGATATAAATTCCTTGTGAGCAAATGACACTGATCCTATGAATGTTTACTCTGGCATTCAGTCCTACTTTCTTCAGCAGGAGATATATATAATTTATATACCATTTAATCATCAAAAGCTCTGAACTGTTTTCATAAAATATAAGATACCAATAAACATCAGTTGCTAAAGAACAAGTTAGCCTTAAAAAATTCTAAATAAAACACTCAGTTTTAAAAATACACGTCAAACTTACATATTAGGGTAGGCTTGCTTGAACAAAAATATTTTAGCAAGTGCCAAAAAACAATACAGTGAAGGTGCCTGCCCAATATCAATGGGTAGGGAGCTGCAAAGTGCCGCCACATCACAAATCAATTACTGTATTTTTTGCTCTATAAGACTCACCTTTTCCCTCCTAAAAAGTAAGGGGAAATATGTGTGCGTCTTATGGAGCGAATGCAGGCTGCGCAGCTATCCCAGAAGCCAGAACAGCAAGAGGGATTGCTGCTTTCACTGCGCAATGATCCCTCTTGCTGTACTGGCTTGAGATTCAGAATATTTTTTTTCTTGTTTTCCTCCTCCAAAAACTAGGTGCGTCTTGTGGTCTGGTGTGTCTTATAGAGCGAAAAATACGGGACTTGGGTTGTATCCAATGCTACTCCTACTCTTGAGTAAACCCGCTGAAGTTAATGGACAGGACTAACTTGGGTCCATTAATTTCAAAGGGTGTAGAGTCTTGAGTAGAACATAGGTGGACACAACCCCTTGCAAATGTGGAATGGACATTACGTGTCACTTGTAAAAGGAAGCTCCGCAATATGATTACAGCCTTAACTGGCTTAAGATGACTCGGACTCAGGTTATTGTGCCACTCTTTCCGCCTCCTCACCTGTCTCTGATCAAAGCAGGGATGTGGTTTGGGAGGTCTTTTTCGTTTGCTGAAACGGCAGGGGACCAGGGCCGGAAGGCAGAGAGGCGCTGTCGTGGATGCATGCAACCAAAACTCTGCTGGAGCCAAAAAGGAAACAAAGAGGAAACAGTGAGATACACACAATTACATGTTTGTGAGCTGTAAATCTGGTATAAGCTGCTGGGGGGGCGGGGCGGAGGCTTGAAGATCCATAGGGAATAGGAGGCATTATAAGTCCATGTGAAAAAGAAAAGGCCTAGCCAACAAAGTCGTACACAGGGTAAACCCACTGAAATTAATGGGCCTATGTTTGTTGTGTCCATTAACTTCAATGGGTCTACTAAGAGTAGGACTAGCAGTGGATGCAACTCAAGGAGTCTAGTACAGTCTTAAATTTCATTCTGTTGCTGGTTTTAATTTTCCACTCTTAAATTGCCCTTAAAACCAAAAACAATTCAAGTACAGTGGTACCTCAGGTTACAGACGCTTCAGGTTACAGACTCCGCTAACCCAGAAATAGTACCTTGGGTTAAGAACTTTGCTTCAGGATGAGAACAGAAATTGTGCAGCGGTGGCGCGGCAGGCCCCATTAGCTAAAGTGGTGCTTCAAGTTAAGAACTGTTTCAGGTTAAGAACGGGCCTCCAGAACGAATTAAATTCTTAACCCGAGGTACCACTGTATCAGTGTTTAGATGTACCAATGGTCTTACTTGACAGCTTCCTATATTCCTAGTTTATTAAATCATTCTAATTTTTTAAAATGTGATGTATGTATATATTCTGCAGACACCTTTTTGTGGCAAAAGATTCTTACTGCAACCTTATCCTAGTTGGAAGAGAAATACCTACAAAAATAACTCCTCTACGGTTGTTTGTTTTAAATACCAGTAGATCTAAAACAAAAATAGAGGGTCCAAAAGAGAAATTGACCATGAATGAAGCAAAATAAAAAATGCAAAAGAGGAATTTGTCTTTAAACTCAATGGGTTTTACCCAACAAAGTCCTACTGCCTGAAATTAATGGTTAATCATGTCTTCTTAATTTCAATAAGTCTATTCTGAGTAGGGCTAACAGGATGCAGCCCATTGTACAGGTGTTTGACTTTGGAAACAGCACCTAATTAATGTATGGTGTCCTTGATGAAATCTTTTGGGGCCCCTTTCCCTTTACACTTGTGTTGGAACTGCTCATATGTGGTTTCTTCACCACCACCCCAAGGAGAGTAAAATAAACGAGATTTTAAACCAAATTTGTGGACTATGGATGTAGGAAATGAAAGAAGCTGCCTTTAGTGTCTAGGCTGACTGACAGTGGCTCTTCATGGTCTCATGTGCAGAAAGGGCTTCCTAACCACCTGCTAACTTTTTCTTTTGAAATTGAGGCTTTCTACACACAAAACCCCCTTCATGGATCACTGCCTTGTTGTGTCGAAGGGGCTTGAATAACTCAGAGAAGCTATGAGCTATGCCATGCAGGGCCACCCAAGACGGACAGGTCATAGCCGAGAGTTTAGACTAAATGTGATCTACCTGGAGAAGGAACTGGCAATCCACTCCAGTATTTTGCCAAGAAAACTCCATGGACATAAAAAAGGAGAAGCTCTGAGTAGAAAGTGAGCGTTTCCGAGGCATGCTCTGGTTCATGGGCTCACAGAGAGTCGAACACGACTAAGACGACTAAACACAACAACACACAAAACAGGCGTATCTACCTATGACCAGTCCCCTAAAACTCACCTTGCTGGATGAATTGGACAAGGACCGTAACCAACTAGACTGTTTCTCTTTGTCACCAATTATTGGAGACTGCAAGGAGTCATCTATTTTGGGTTTCTTGGGAGCAGGAGGATCAGATGGTACCTGAAAAGAAGAGAGAAAAGAGTTACTGGCTTGAATTTGTATTCCTGTCATTTTCCATTGCATTTTTAGTTATTAAACATAGTTCAAACCACCACTAGTTGAACAGGAATACACCCACATGGGGACCATTATCTGAAGAGCAAGGAAGTGTCTGTTCTAATCTATCCTAGGAGCTCACAACATAATAATAATAATAAATTTTATTTATATCCCGCCCTCCCCAGCCGAGCTGGGCTCAGGGCGGCTAACAACAGTCAAATAACAATCAAATAATAGCACATTCTAAAAATATTTCGTTATAAAAATTAGTTAAAATCAAATTGATGGCAACCGATTAAACAAAATTCTGTGCAGGTTGCCGGAGGAGGGAGTCAGGCTGCGCCGTGACCAAAAGCTTGGCGGAACAACTCTGTCTTGCAGGCCCTGCGGAAAGATGTCAGATCCCGCAGGGCCCTAGTCTCTTGTGACAGAGCATTCCACCAGGTTGGAGCTGCAGCCGAGAAGGCCCTGGCTCTAGTTGAGGCCAGCCTAACCTCTCTGAGGCCTCTCAGGATGCATTGTTACAGGCACTGTGACTAGGACCGTTCTTTCCTTGTGGACTCCAGGTCACGGGTGAACTATAGGTAGCACACAAAAATTATACATTGCTGTGTGAGTCCATTAGAAAACACCCTAAAGGCAAGCTACAGTTATACCTTTATCAGAACTAACAAAAATGTCACAGAACAACTGAGGCCATGTGTTCAAGCTCACAGAGGCGTATCTACATACATTAAACCATGGCTTAGTGTTATATAACGGAACACACATAGTCTTTCAACAGTCTTTTGTTTGTTTTTTAACCATCCTGGGTGTTTTCAACTTCTATAAATGATTCCTGTCCACCCAGATTTGGGAAAACACTTTAAAATTCATTTCTAGCTATGTTTCCTGGGGAAGGGGTTCAGTACCACTGGGACAGAAAATTGACTGGTTTCCCCAAAGCTCTGCGACTGACCTATGTAGTCCTCCAAACTTTAGTACTGCTTTTTAAAAAAGCTAGAGGTGAGAAACAAAATTTCTAGTATATGTTAAAAGACAAACCATTTTAAAAACATATTCTTCAAGCCTATAAAATCAAAGCATTTGATTTTCCCCACTCACCCCCAAATCAAATTTGCCTGCTACCTTGTTTTCTAATTGTATGCAGAAAGGTGAGTTTTTAAAGCTGTGGTTTTGAATTGGAAAGATTATTTTAGATGAGAACAGGGCAGACTTTGTTATTCTGTTTGCAGTGGTTGTTATGCTGATGACTTCACTGCGCCGCAGCTGCAGGCAGATTCTAGTGGCCTGTTGCCAAGATCTGCTTTGCCTTTTCCACAAGTTGCTCTGCTCGGCCTATAAATCACCCGCAAGCATAAGCAAGCCCTTTTGGCCGCCTGGAACCCTTTTCTCTCCAGGGACACCAGAAGATAAATTCCAAGGGCCCCAATGTGGCTTTGCCAAACAGATTGGTACCTACTGGTTGAACTTGGGCTCTGAAAAAAGCCAGAAAGCCAGCCAGTACGAACAAGATCACTGGGTAGGAGAGGGTGGGTTGAATGACCTCATAGTAATTGCTCTCTCCCCCTACCCTTCAAGGCAGGGAGGGAAGTGTCAATTCCATTTCAAGACCATGCAGTTTCTTCTCATGAAGGGATATGACTGAACATGGAGACAAAGAGACCTATGCTGATTATGATGAGCCACCCAGAGCCCCACAGGTGTGTGCCAGGATGCTATTCTTTTTTCAAAAAATTATTTCTTTTAAAAAAAACACCCTGCTTTGTTTTTGGGCTACCTCAAGAGTGGCAAGGGAACTTTCCGAATCTGTGGAGAAGTCAGCACGATTGGAGCAATAATAGTAATAATACTGGTGAAGGGGGAGAAAACTTCCTTCTACTTTTGCAGTTTCTGCCTGTGCAAGAAACAGTGACAGCATCTGAATGATATTTGGCAAGCACTGACAGATCCCAGCCCTGTCCACTGGGGCTGCAAAGTCAGGCTGGGAGGGGACCTGGAATGAGAGGCAGACACAGCAGGTGCTTCAACTCAGTACAGAGATGTGTTTCTTTCTTGCCCATTCCCTCCCCCCCCCCCACTTTTCCCCTCCACCCTCTGCTCATCCGCAGAAAGAATATTTTGTGCAGACTCGAGACAATCAATTGGGATGGTTAGAGTGTGTGTGTGTGCTGGGGGGGCGGGGGGGGGGCAGGAGCCCTGGCACAACAAGCTGATCGAAGTTTTAAAAGCACGCAGCTGTAAGATATAGCTAGTACAAAGTGAGGCAACCTAAATAGATTTGCCGAAAGGGGGATGGAGTGGGGCGAATGCTAAATATATTATCTTACAAAACACAAACTCAGTTCCTTCCTTTTCCACCATCCCTCTGATCAAGGCAGAGAAAAAGGAAATAGACCTGTCTGTCAATACTATGTTATAAGAGCATCAGTCTGGGTGGAGGTGTCCCCCTCCCCCAGTTTGCAGAACGCATCTCTCATGGGAACTTTGGAAGCTGCCATTATCACATGGAGTCAAGCCATTGTTCCATCTAGCTCGCTCAACACTGTCTACTCCGAATGGTAGCAGCTCTCCAGAGCTTCAAGCAGGGGGCATTCCCAGCCTCCACCTCGAGATGCCAGAGATTGAACATGGGACCTTCTGTGTGCAAGGCAGGTGCTCTGCTGCTAAGGTAGACAGCTTTTCCTCCCAGCTTATGCTACACAGTGTTAGAAAATTCCCAGGTGTCACGAGTGTTTTGCAACTGGAGAGGGTCCAATTGCAACTACATCTCTGGTTGCCAGGCTGGCGACTGACATCTCCATCTGGCTGCCCCCCCCTAACTTTCTTAAGCAGGTAAGCAGAAGAGCTTATTTGCTGCATTTATATCCTACCTTTTTCTCTAAGGAGTACATGGTTCACCCCCCTCCCATCTCAGTTAATCCCTACAGCAACCCAAGGTTGCCCAGTGAGCTTCATGACTGAGTGGGGATTTGAAACTGATCTCCCAGGTTCTGGTCAGACACTCTAACCACTACACCACACTGCCTTTCTAGAGTATTTCTGCTATGGGGCAGGTATATAAATTAAGCAGGTAAATAAATATGGGGAAAGCAAAATGTCGCTTAGAGAAGGATCTGAAATATTTTCTTGAAGTCTGAATTTGTTGTATTCTAGATTATTTGATTTGATATTTTAATGTGTTGTAAACCATATTTTTCTTTAAAATATAAAGCAATATAGAAATAAAATTAATGATAATAATAATAATAAATTCATTGTTTTGAAAAAGTGCTTAGACATTCCATTGTGGCAACTGTAACCTAGGTTTGTATTACAAAAGCCACTACCATGAGTCTAGTCTTGTGAGGCTGAAAGCTGTCCAGTGGTCACATGGACTGCATCAACAAATCTCCACTCTGACAGTTTTGGTTTGCAAAACCAAACTTTCTTGAGTGATGCATCTGCACTACCTGCACATTCCTGTGAATGGTGGTCTAGAATGACAGTGAATGAGTCAGCCTGGTCAATTATTTCTGTGCTGTCCTGGACAGCAACCAAGAATACCTATTCATATCAGGATTGGGGAATAAGGAGAAGATTGGAAGATAATAACAGCAACTTCTGTTCAGCCTTTCTTTCATGGCTGTGGAAGAATCTGACATCAAGAGATTGCAGCCTTGACCTTGGTCATCTAAATAGTTTTGACTAATGCTTTACTCACTGCATCATAATGACTCGCAAATCTGTGATGGCACAAAGCTTTTGTGGACTAGAGCCCCTTTCACCAGATGCATTTTCCTGTCAATCACAGTATCAAAGCCAACGGACAAGTGCATTCTCCATATTTCCAAAGGACAATGGCAGAGTTCAGTGTTGCTGCAAAGTTGCTGCAATGAAAGCCCTTTACGGTACTTCCTAAAGCACTGCAATGACCTGGGAAGAGTTTACTGCTGGGCCAGCTACACAGTCCCATCCTGTGTTAAATGTGCTCGTCTGGGTTCCAAAGAAACATACTGCACCGTATGCTCAAGGGGGTTTGTTTTGGACTTGCTTTTCAAGAATAGAAGCCCCATTTTGCCACATGCCAGACTTCTTCTGAAACCGAGAACACTATCAAAAGCAATCTGTAGAAATTGGGTATTCAGGCGGCTCAGTGTGTGTGTGTGTGTGTGTGTGTGTGTGTGTGTGTGTGTGTGTGTAAAATCAACAACCCACTGAGCATGCCTAAGCCTTTGAGTGCACAGGGAAGTAGCTTTTTGGATCCCAGCCAATGCGTTTTGAGAAAGAAGCAAGTTGGAAGCCAGATATTTCAGCTATGATTCCAAAAGGTGCTTCTTGAAATTTTGGTCCCATCCATCTGAAGGTCATTCCCCATTAATCAGACTAACTTTGGCACTGGCCAAATAGGATCATGCTTGATGTGTCTGGCCAAATTTGCTAGCTCGGCACAGCACAGGACTGCAGTAGCAAAAGCCGAGCGAGGTTGGTGGGAATAGATTTCTCACCCTCTGCTTCTCAGAACAGCCCCTCCTCCTTCAGGCCAAGCAATAATAATAAAAGCAGCAGGCTAAGTGATAACAGAGCTGGCATGAGCACCTGCTAGTTTCTTTTCAGATGAATGCACCAGCAAAAATTTCAGCACCCAGCAGAAGTGACTTTTCAAGCTTAAGGCGTTCGGCAGTGTTATAGCTATCTCCCGAAATTCCCAAATGCCCAAGCATCAAACTATGACACGTTCACATACCAAGAGGCTTCCATTTAACAAATCAGCCTAAACAATCTGTACAGAAATACAAATGCAGCCAGACTCTGGGTCTATTGCAAGCCAATTCTACCCTATCCCTGAACTAATTTTCACATCATCTTGTGGAATGGTATTTTCCTGCAGAAATTCTTACTCCTGGTTTTCCACTCCTTTCATCTATAACGATGCTGAACTTTGGGAACCTATTTTATATACCACTGGGGGTTGTTTTCCT